GCTGCTGCTGCCACTGGTGGTGGTGGTGGTGGCTGACATCATTTGTTTTGTCCGTGTCATCATTTCCCTGAAATCCAAAACATACTGCCAGTCAGAAGCTTCTGAACTTTTTGGTTCAATCTTAAGCGATGTCCTCATGGTAAAAATAGGTACAAGGACTCGCTTTGTGACAGTTTTAGTATTGACTGTAGAGTTGGAAATAAGCAGGATTATATTGTGCCACCGGGGTTCCAAGAAGATCCCTTTGATTTTTCTCACAGACAAACTCTACTGGATTGCTTGTTTAAATACATGGGACAAACATGGACAAAGTATTAGAAACAGCATTCACCACTAATCACTAATTGCCTAAAACAAAAAAAACTTTGAACCTGCAGTAAGTGAATTTTTGTGTCAACTAGGTGGCAAAGAAACAAGCTATAAACACACCACCAACATATCATCACCTTCTAAGTTTATATGACAAACTTAACAAATACCTGGTGCTATGAGAGCGGTGAGAGTCAATATAAGCGGTAAAGTTAGGCCCCGCAAACCAAAACAACAATGAGTTGGGTGAAAATGCTGTGGGTTCATCACCATTAGTTGATCCCTTTCATAAACAAGTAGTCATCGTGTTTATAGCCACTTTGATATATAACCATGATAAAGTTATGCAGGTGTATTGCGGATTGGATAGCACAGGTGTAGCTAATGAACTGGTAACTCATCACAATTACACATGGTGCTTTTTATCCACGAAGTCAAGGCAATATACATATTACAGTTGATATTAGTTAAACATACACTGACTGCCTTATTTCAAAAATGTTCCTGCCGTTGTCTACATCCTTTTTGAGATATGCTTTTAATCTTTCATTGCTCAATGCTCCCGTGATGACTGTTGAGTGTCAGGCTGAATTTACTACTATCTGAATTTAGAGTCAGATCATACTTGACATATAAATAATGTTTACTTTAACATCCATGCCCTAGAAAAATCACCCACTTCAACCTGTATATGAAGTGCAGGCCACCTGATAAAATAAAAATAAATAAATAATTTAAAGTGAATTTACAGATGCGCTGCATCAGAATTCACCAAGTAACCTTTTCTTGTCAGAACATGTTGGGATGATGACTAAGAATCAAGGTCAACTTTCTCTCATTTCATTCATTTCACTCCTACTTTCACTGTTCCTCCTGAGTATACTTTCAGCATCATTGCATGAGTAGTTTTCGTAAATAATATGAAAATGAGGAACATCCGTTCTGTCTCTATATGAGTGAGATGTGTAGGCAAGAAGATGAGTGTTTCTCTGATGTATTTACCACAGATACAGAACAACTTAGACACAGTGACCTTTCTGTTAAATGCCGGCACATCAGTTCTATCCATTTACACAGGGACACAGATTAGTTATTCTTCTCTTCACTAAGTATTAAACCACCTTTCATTTAACCAGTTTGTAAGTTTGAATCCTGCAGGATGTTCCCATCCTGTTTCTTCATTGTTACATTCCCTCCTGTTGTAAGACAATTAAGCAATTAAAGGCATACTAAAAGACATAAGAGTGTTAGGGAACCTTTATAAACCTGAGAAAAATTGCTGTCACTCACAACGATAAATGAAAATCAAGTTTTAATCCTTCTTAACATGTCCATATGATGTATTTTAGTACAAGGCATATCATGAGCAAAATAAGCCGTCACCATGACTGTTCATTTCTACCTTGGAATTGCAGTGAACCAATGACAGTTTCAAAAAACCGATTCGGACAGCCAGCGATTCATACGTCATATATCCAAGAAACCAATCCCTTCAACCTGGGATGGAGGGTGGGCAAAATAAACCCGAAACCTTGCATTGCATTAGCACAATCATTATCACTGTGTCCGCCACTGCCAGTTGCGAGCTAACAAACAACATAAACAAATAAAAGATGCTAACTACACTTACCGTTCTAATATGTCCGCTAGTTGCTGATTTTGGTGCACAACAGACTGCTCATGTAGCGGAGCCTCTCTGATATTTCCTCTGCCAACTATCTTGATACGCACTTTCATTGGTCACCGAAACCTAGCCAGTACAGAGAGCAAGAGTTTGCATTGGCACAGCCAATAACACTTTGTTAGCCACTGCCAGTTACACGCTAACAAACAACATAAACAATTAACTACACTTACAATTATTATATATCGTCTAGTTGCCAATTTCTCTCCAATGTTACTTCCGCTAACCATATTGATACGCTCTACTCTTTCGCCTGTCAACCTAGCACAAGTAGCGGTAGTAGGCAGGGCCACGAGGCCAAATCCAGATTTCGCAATGAGGAAGTAAGTGTAAGTGATGTGCTTCCAGCCGCAGTTTTCCAATTTTTTCACTTTTTATGTGGGAAAACCATGTTAAACGACATATTAATCATAGCAGAGTACTTTTATATAGTTTAAAATATGTCTGAAGAGGAACTTAAAGGTTTATGTATGATGTGTTTCAGGAAACAAAAACTCTTTATTTATTCTTCTTGACCATAACGTGAAAATAAAAGTAAATGTATGACATCCGTGAAATAAATATTTTGGGTCATAGTGGGAGTGATGGTTACTGTATGCTGGCCACCAGTGGAGGTTAATCTTATTAAAAATGGATATCTTTGATTTCATATGCCACTCTGACAGGAAGTCGTCCACAGATGCACTCTGGCAGCTGTGGGTGTCAAGCAGCCAATCGAAAATCCCATGAGAGCCCTAACTGAACGTTACCACGGTCAAGTGCCACCGGAAGAAGAGGCATAGGCGTGTGTGTGTGTATATGTGTGTGTGTGTATGCATGGCGTACTTTTGTTTCAGTGCATTGGTGATCCACACACAGCTGATCGCAGCCGGAAACTGTGCGCTTGGGTGCCTGGTGTAGGAGTTGGGTTATTGAAATGAGAAAACCCTGCAGCCTGAAAGATTCAGAGATCAGCTATTCTCGCCTAAACGGTGATGTGTCAGAATGTAAGAGGCGTCAGTGATCAAAAAATGAACGCCGCCCACAACCTCAGGGCCTGGCTGTACTGTAAATCTAAGGCTGTGTTTATGTAATTTGATGTTTACGCAATAAAAAGGACTGGACTGAGCTGAGGTGGATGGCAGCGGTGCAGTGGTAGTTGAGGGGGTGGGTATGGTGTGCACCCACCTTACTTTAATTACCATATTTCAGGAGAAATTAGACTGTTGGAGTGAGCATAGTATATATATTTAGAGTATACTCTAAACATTTAGAAAAGGAGATTTAGAAAGGAGAAGGTGTGTTTTTACTCTTTGACAAGGTAGAAAAAAGAATTTTGGTCTATAGTGAGTCTGTTTTAACCCTGCCAGCGCCTAAAAAAAAGACTGGACCAACAGACTTCATATAAGTAGAACAGGAGACCTGTTCCTATTGTCACTAGAAAACCTAATTTTGATAATTTTCATAGTTTCACCTCAATTTAAGGATAACTTTGTGTTATGGATTGAATAACTGTTTATTAAAAAACCTTGTGGACCTGTGAAATCCTTTCAAAACCCTGTTAGATATCAACAAAATCATTGTCATCAAGACTAATCCCTGAAAAAAAGGTTAGTGCAACAACATGCAATTAAGTTCCAGTAAATAAAGAAGAATACCTGCAAATAACTACTTTGCCTTTCCCGCCTGCTCTGTAATAGTGTACACACTACCACTGAGAATCTGTGTTTATAGATTTACTCAAAGTCAGGTACAGTTTCAGGTCTAGTTTTTGCATTAACTGCTACGACCAGGTGTATTTGCCTGAACTAACTGAAATCTTTGATGTTGGAGCTTACCACCAGATCATGAACACACCAACAATAACCAATTAACCCCAGCTTCTTTACCCCACAGCAAAAACCCAAATGTGATAAAAGATTGTAGCAGCACCAGTAAATATATGATATACTAACAATCATAAGCTCTATATGAAGCCTTTTATTGACTTTCAGCGCACTGTTTTGATTTTCCGGCCCCCAACCTGTGCTTTTATGGCAACACACTCAGGTGTTTTCAGTAAAAGAGCTCAGAAGAATAAGGATAAGAAAAAGAAAGACGTTACATATTTTTCTGAAGGAATTGGTGGAAACCAAATGAACTGAAAAAGAAATATTGTGATCTGTAAGGTGAACAGAAATATGATTTGAACTAAATGTAAATTTGTCTCTCTGTCTGCTTGACACTTTTTTCCGAACATCTTATCCGCCATAAAATTTATCTCATGTCAGATGTGTTGTCAGTTTGTACCACTGCCCCAAGAGAACAAATAACTAAATGAATGAATGAATGAATGCAGCTTTAAGCCAACAAATGTTCAAGAATTACCTACGTCAGAACAAATTTCAAGGTGCCATTCATTCTGGTTTCCGTAGTGTTGAAATTAATGGCAGGTAGAATAAAAAAACTGAAATGCAGTGAGTAACAATGCTAAATACTGCTATGTTATGCTTCAGCACTATTTTCATCACTCTTTAGGTCACAACCATTCTAACTATAGAGCAGCTAATAGCTATAAGAAGCTAAATTCTTCCTCAGATGGAGAGTTAATCTGTGTATTGCAATGGATATCTTGAATTCCATCAGCAATTCTAATTTATTTACAGCATAAAACACTTTATAGTCATTCATTGCAACAGCTTAGAAGCTTATACTTTTACAGACTCTTGATTTTTAAGTGACTGGGAACTACTTGAAGGCACACACACAATCACATTCCGGGAGGAAACCTTACACCTTCCACATCTCGGCTCTCCAACAAAAACATTCGCTGCTTCTGGCTGCGGTTGAAAAGAAAGAACTCGACGGACGGCGAGCCAGCCAATCAGAGTCACCGGTGATTTCGATTTTGCGACTCCTCCCCTGTTATTGGCCCGAAGTATCCCTTGAGGCTCCCGCCCCCGTGCAGCGATTGGTGGATTTTCCCGGCTCTATGGAAGTCATTTGAATACGCCTCGCTTTGTGGCTCATTACAGCGCTGCTGGTTCAAATTGACTCAAATATCAGGACGGGCGACAAACACAATGGAGCTGAGCACTGCACGGACTCACTGCTGAACGACTTATCGGTGTGTTACACACCGTGCATCTTTATCCTGTCGTGGGAACAGATTCAAACAGCGGAAATTACAAATAGTTTGGATAGCCTTGTTTTTTTTTCTCTTTTCAACTGTTTCTGTCAGTGAAAGATTGAATTCGGACACTGAGCTGCATCAAATAAGAGGTAAGCTATTCATGTTGTAGATGATGTAGTCATACATAGAAAATATAAACTTAATTCTTGGTCAAATTAAGTTTGGTCATGGTCAAAAACTATTTTTTTAATGGGTTGAAATCTGTTATGTAACTCGTGATGTTTAATAGGGTCATAGTAATTCACTTTACAACTCAAGAGCCTCTGTTCAGTCTCTGTGATATTTGACAAACCAATGCAAGAATTATCTTTCAGAAAGTGTTTTATCTTCCTCATAGCAATATTTGTTGTTGTTATTGTTTACCATCCTCGTGAGTTATAATTAGGCTGGCTGTCAGGCACAAACAAACAATTACTCACCAGCACCTGTGATGGTACTGTGGTTGCACAGCATGGCGTTTTCACAGTCAGCTTTTACTTTTACTGTGTTATGACTCAGTTAGAAGCCCATAATGTAGACCAGGCATGGCGCGTGTGTGTGTGTGTGTGAGTGAGAGAGAGAGAGAGAGAGAGAGAGAGAGTATAACAGATTGTGTGTACGTGCGTGTGTGTCTGTACAGGAAAGAAAAATGCATGACAGAAAGTGTGTGTACTTCTGCCCAAACAGACTTTAAAGAGCTTGAATCATCTCTTTGTCTGTCCAAACACCTTTTAAAATAGACCAACAGTCCCTTAAACTGCTGAAATGAATGCCTCAATTTGCTCCACTAGAGAGGCTGCTTAAATTAAAGTCAAATTAAATGGTTAAACCAATTTAATAATTAACACAAATTCAGTCTGAGAGGCACAAGCAACATTTTGTCTAAAAGCAGTCAAATCCGGTTGTTAAAGCTACTTATTCCACCTTTAATCTTAATATGAAATGTTTCTGTTGTGCTGTGAGGCAGAGGTTTATGAGATCCGTAGCTTTATAGACATAAAAAAAAAAAAATTAAAAAAATGTGTGTGACAGCAATAAAACCCTTTACACAAGCTTAGGTTTATAGCAGCAGGGGAGATAATGTCTCTTTATCCTTTCTGACTCTAGGTTAATACTGTACTAGCCTACCAGATCATACAGGGGACAGGTGTGTGTATGTGTGTGTGCTTGTGTGCCTCTATGCACTTATAACCCTGTTTGTCTCAAGCCTCTGCACAAGGAAATGCATCCTTGTTTGTGTGTGTGTGTGTGTGTGTGTGTGTCTGTGTGCGGAGAAAACAGGTCCAGCAGTGGGTGAATTGTGTTCCACATAATCTCTGCAGTCAATCTGACTGTGGTGTCAGTCTGCATCCGGCTCTGTTTGCCTGTTTATCAGATTTAGATGCAGGTGCAGGTTTTTACGCTGGTCAGCGGGTCCCAGTGTCTGGTGTTTTGACAGCGGCTGCAGGCCTAATCTGACCCGTACGCTTCCCTGAGCACGAGTGGAGCACTTTGTTTGAGCTCTGTGATGTTTCCTCTTACTTTCATTTGGGCCATTTGGTCAATTAATGATGACGCTTGAAGTCTGGTGGTCATGATACCAAGAGGACGAAAACTGTGATGCAGTTTGTAAGCAAAGGACAGTAAACACACAGCCTCAAAACAGCATGGATTATGGGTGTAACATGGTGGAAACAGATTTGCATGCTTGGACAGCCAAGTAGAACAAAATAACATCTGGACTCATGCTCATTTATTTTCAGCAGTTTATCCATATATTTGTTTCTAGTATGAACCCAACAAAGGAAGACTAGTCCGTTCAGTGAGACAATTGAAGTCTGATTTGTTTGCTTATTTCTGCTTGTGGGAGACCCCAAAACTTAAATGTAAGAATAAGCCTGATACCCATTCTAAAATTAAAAAAGTAATTACACTACACTCATTTAAAAAGACCAAAGAAAAAGAAAAGAAAAACATATAAACAACCTGGGTTAAACCTCGCTGCATACCAACACTTGGGGTCTTGATCTTGACCTCTGTAATCTTATAGATCCTTCTCATGTCCTTGACTTGGCAGACAAACGTGCTGTATTAAGGGCTTTTCTTGCATAGACCATTTTAAGACATTTGGGTCAAATTCTGTCACATTAAGGGACTGTACAAAAATTATTAGGGTAGAGGAGGGATCAGAAAAGGGAGAGGGTTATGCACTATTACTTTTTGCTGAGGGGAGGGCAGTGTGATATATTTTTAGAAGAGCAGGAAGAGCTTTTGACTTTTCCTCATCATGGATTTGTATTTTGTTAGTTTAGCCTTTCCCATGGGAGATTTTTTTGGATATAAAAATCAAAAAGCTCCATCAAAAAGGTTTCTGTGCACCACAGGTAATAAAGATGTATTTGGTGAAAATGAACCTTTACTTTCTAAAAATTCAATATAAGATTCAGCCTCTCTCCCCCAGCACAATAATTTTTGTACCGTCCCTTATGAAAACCTGACCATTTCTGCAATAATAAAACCACTCTCAAGAATGTGTTGCATTAAATGCATCACTGCCGATTGTTATTTCAACAGAGGAATGACTGCAGGGTGGTGCCAGGTGAAAGATAATGTGGTGGAATTCAACCAAACTCCAACAAATTGAAAGTTACCAAAACAGAACGACAATTAATTCTGTCTGATAAAAAGCTTTTTGCTTTTTAGCACTTTTGAGGTATTTTATCACAAAATTAAGAGCAGACTGTCCCAACACCGGTAACTGGGATTCATTTTCTTTTGCATCTGGTATTCTGAAGTTAAGTATAGTCACCTCTCATCCTGCAGGAAGTAACAAATCAGCATTTGAGAGTGAATTTGTTTTAAACAGCAGTGAGTGAGCCCTCCCTCCAGAGGAAACTGAACTCAAAAATGTTAGTTTCCATCACAGACCAGCCAGGATGATAAAAATAAGCAAGCTGTGTGGCAGTGCTGTTTAAAGGGTTAATGTCTGTACATGTAAAACTGTTTAGTTTGCAGCTTTGACAAAACCACAAGTAAGTGATATGAGCACAGCATGGACTTTAACCTCATATTTTGTCAGTAATAAGGCTGACTGTGAAGGGTTTCCCTCAGATTAGCACGCTGCTATAGCTTATTAGTGTCAAAGGTACAGAGATAGTGCTGCATTACATTGGCCTTTTACTATTCTGAAATTGTTTTACCGGTCATGTTATCAGGTGCAGGCTGTTCGTTCAGCCAGGCAACTTTTCCCTCACGCCCATGTGTCCACATTGTGTTCACCGACTTGCTGAACTTTACACGAGTTAGTACATTTCAAGGGGCGTGGCATCCTTAATTGTCCTCTGTGTTGAAATAAAGTAGGCACTACTGACAGAGGATCCCAAATCGTGAGAAATTAGTCAAACAACTTCATAGTGCTTTACAGCTACTTTGCTACTACTAAATTTGCAGCAACATGACCGTTTAAGGAGAATAACACTGAATTATGTCCTAGCCCCTGGCCATGCTTAAAGTTCACAAATTTGATTAGACGTCACAAAAAACAGGAGTATTTTGCAAACAAATCTTCTCTTGTTCCTTTCAACTGCTGTTGTAGTTAACCATCAGGGGGTTTCAGCACTTACTATTATTAGGTCAGCAAGTGTGTAGATGCTTGCTGGGGTCAACTGGCTTTTAATTTTTTTTAACTTTTAAGGACAATTTAGAATGACTAAGTTAGCTGCGCACTGCACACCATCACATATCTGTATATGTATATGTACATATGTGATGCCCTAAAGTCTGTGTTGTACTAAATTAGAGCTGGCTGCTGTCTTTGAGCCAACTGCAGTAAAATCTGCTTATGTCAATATGTGAGTTTCGATATGCTCCTTTATCAGTGTCACGAGAAGGATTCCTGTGTGTTCATTGCACTTCTAAATAAAAGGGCAGATTTGTGACGCATGACCTCACAGTGCATGGTGTCTGTCGAGGTAATATAAGGGTTCACACCTTACAGGAGAATGAGAAAGTCGGCTTTACTGGTTTGTCTGTTGTGAAAATGATCCCAGCCGTGGTTCATGCAGAGGCAGGGCGTCATACGGCCTGACAGTGGAGAACAGAGTGTGTGAAAGCTGCTGTGTGTGTCTGATCTGCTGTGATCTGCTCTGATCTCTTCCTGGGGGTCTTTGTGTGGTTGTTAATGCCATGACAGGATAGATAATACCTCTATTGTTGAAGACCTCCCCCTCGCTCTCCCCCTCCTGTTATAACTGGCCTCAGAATAGCTTGGTGTACCTTTAAAAACCACATTATGTGATTTAGAAAAAAAAATTGTCTGCTTAAGGTTGAAAAGATTTAGGCTGTTCCCAGCTCTGGAACCAACTGGAATGAAGTTAGTTTTGCCATTTGTGCTTCTGCAAACCTGCAGGGATCCAAGAGGGAAAGTAGTCCAGCTGCAAAACAAATGGATGAACGCCACCACTGCCCCCAATTAATTTATTCTTGTCACATTTAAAAAATGAAGCTTCTAAAAAAGCATTCAAATCTTCATCGGACACTAAAAAATCAGACAAAGGCGGCATTCATATACAGTACGACTTCAATCCCACGATATTTGCCTGCAGCTCCATCAAAAGTTCAATTAGTTTTAACCTTTTGATAAACCGGATTATGTCACTTTAGACACACTGCAATCTGTGCCATTTGTCAGAACAGGAGATATTGTCTGTGTTGTCACATTACAAAGATTACGCCGGTTAAAGGGAAAATGTGCCATGAAAGTGTGCAATGTTTCAATACAAGAGAAATCCCTGCACGCATGAAACTTCATCCTTGTGGTTTTGTTGGTACATTGTTCTGACAAAACTGTACATTTTTGCCTTTTTCCTGTATTTTTACCATCACATCAAACCTCTTCATAAGTCTGCAGTTTTCAAAGTTTACAAACAAGAGAATGAAAACAATGCTGTCAATATGAAATTATGCCCCCAACGTAGTTATTAAGCCGTCCACAGAGAGTCCAACCTATGATTTAGAAAGAGTAAAATTTCAGTGCTGCAGCTTGGAAGCCACAACTATCCAAAGGGTCAACTCTTTTCAGGAAGTCAGTCTGGAAAAACCAAGACTGGTTTTAGATTTCTAGACGTGTTTTCCTCTTGTATAAGGTCACCTTTCAATGCAAACAGAAGCTCGGATAAAGAAAAAAGGCTTCCACACTAGAGTAAATATTTCTCAGTAAATACTTATCCCAGCTTGAACACCAGAGCTTCGCTTTTCCAGATTACAGATCGTATAGTAACTCTAGGAAGGTAAAGCCACTGTAATCTTTTAACCAAGTTAGAAGAAGAACAGCAGGCTGAGATCACAGAGTTCAGAAGACGGGCTGGCACTGGACTGGCTTACACTGGCATCACGCCAGGCACTGTGGTATACAATACTGTATGTATGTGTGTGTGTGTGTGTGTGTGTGGTGCTCAAACTATCATTTGTTTACGTGTGACATGTGTGTGTGTTTGGATTATACCGGCATGGGGCTAGGCGCCATGGTGGACAAGAGTGGGTGTGTGTGTGTGTGTGTGTGTATGTAAGATGTTGGCTCAGGCAGACACTCCTCTGTCGGCGCTGTGATGGACAAACAAAAGTCTGCAGGATTCCTGCAGGGTTTTGTTTTCTGGCACAGTGTACGTGCATGTGTATACGTCTCTGTGTGGGGTATGTGTGTGAGTATGTGTGTGTGTGTGTGCGTGTGTGAGTATGCGGCTAGATTTACGCTGGCATGTGGTTCCTAGACAGACAACAGTAGCAGGATAAAGATGGCTCCAGAGTTAAAGCACGCCTTGGTGGTGATCTGGGATCAGCTTACCAACCTCAGATCCAATTATCTGAACCATTAAGACAAAAATTCATTGCCGCCTTGAGATCATCCATCTGTCGGCCTGTTTTTTCTTCCCCCCCTCATGCAGCACTGTTTCCAACAAGCTAGCTTCAAGAATGTGACAAAAGATGCAATAAAGCAGGAGACGGTGGAAAAAAAAACCTAATTGTAAAAACTGTAACCAACAACTTTTTAGAGAAAGTGAATTTCATGAGGTGTATCTTTCAACAGTTCAAAGCCAAAACAGTAAACAGAGGAGGGGTAAAATTATGTGATTAAGTGTAATTACTTTCACAGACACGTCTAAGTCTCTGGTTTGGGCGATGGAGATAGAGGGAGGGGGGTTACAACAGTCACGCTGTTGTAAAACAGCATATAACACAAGTAACAGGAGATATCTCTAGTCATGATTTTTTTACTCACAGCAGATTAAGTAGAGAAGAGTGACTTCTAATGTTGACCAACAGATAGTGAATCCACAGTGAATACTGAAGTTTGAATACCTAATATAGACAGGAAGTATCACTTCTAAGCATAAACCATGCTAACTGTTGTACTTTTTCCACTTTTGTGGTATCATGATTAAAGCGGCTGCTCGAGCTGTTAGTGAAATACAGGGTCATCTGATCAACAAAACATGAATCAACACAATCATTTATTATTATTTGGATCTTGGATTGTTGAATGCACAAAAAAGATGTCAGCACGGGTTCTGGGAAATTGTTGAAGGCATTTTTTATTATTTTCTTTTGAGAAATGATTAATTGATTAATTAATCACAGTATGAACAAAATTAAGTGATTTATCAAAAAGGAATATAAACTACAGTCGCACCTCGTTTGGGAGTCATCTGATGATATCTATCTGTTATTATCCCTTCTTTTTCTACTTCTTCTTCTTCTTCTTGAGAATTGAGCACACTAGTCTACAAAGTTGGGAACAACTGCATTAAGTCATTAAAGGCAATGTTGCAAATCAGTCGGCATTACCGTTGCATGGCATTGTTTTGTTTTTATATGACTTGTGCATCAATGTAATGAAGAACATTGACATGTCAGGTATTTAATTTGCTGAATTAGCCATAAACAGACATTCTTGTCTGGATGTTTTCTCAGTTAACTGATATTTATACCATGATAGCGATATACAGTATATCACTATCGTGGTATAAAACTACACATGCTGTGATTTTAGCCATACTGCCCACTTCTAACCTCGCCCTCCTCGTGTCTTCTCTGCAGGTCATCATGCCTCCCACTACTCCGTATGCCGGAAAGTTCGGCTCTTGCGCTCCATACAGCAACAACAACAACCATCCTCAGCCTCACAGCCCTTATCGCAGCGGCACCGCCCCAAAACCTGCGAAGGAAAACGTCTACAACGGTGCCTACTCTGTCGCAGAAAACCCCTACGACATACCACAGCCTCACAGTTCCTACCGCAGCTCCTCTGTCTCCTCTGTAACGGCGAAGGAGCATCATTATACTGGCAGCTGCGTGGTTTCGGAAAACCCGTACTCACCGCAGCCCTGCAGCCCTCGACAGCACAGCACTTCCTGTCCAGGTCGTGCGTACCGCCACACCACCTCCACCTCCACCTCCACCGCCACCACCACCACCAGCAGCAGCGGCAGCGAGCACTCCTGTCGCAACAACACTGCTGCAGCGAAAGCTCGACTTTATGGACATGGCATCACAGCTAGCTATGGGGAAATGTGTTACCATGACAACAGTTTGGTTTCAGCATCTCTTGAGGCTTTGATCCAGCACCTGGTTCCCACAGTGGACTATTACCCTGATGTAAGTACAAGTACTCTCTTCATGCTTTAGTAAGTACATGACCTTTTCCAGTGGTTTTAAATGGACTCGTTCAGTCTTGTCCATGTCAACCTTTGTTGTCCTTGTTGTTTTTCTGAGAGCTGTTTTGTCTCCTCGCCATCAGAGGTCATATGTGTTCACCTTCCTGCTGAGTTCACGCCTCTTCCTCCACCCATACGAACTCATGACGAGGGTTTGTCACCTGTGTGTGGAGCAGCAGCGGTCAGGAGACGCCCTGCTGGATAAGGTGGGAGGATTACTCACACACGCAGTTATAATTATTTCCCAGTCTCTCCCACACAAACTAACACCCACTGTAACACTGTCACATTCTTTCTCCCACTGAAACACACACACACACACACACACACACACACACACACACACACACACACACCTCTGTAATTCTTTCTTGTAGTAAATACTTATCGACTACTTCATAAGCAAAGAAATTCTGGAGAGAGTGACGGGACTGAAACTGACACAGGGGAAATAAAAGTGAAAGGAACACGTTTAATGGGAACAATACAGTAAACAAATGAACAAACAACAGCTGTATTTTTTCTCAAAAAGACAGACAGCAATGATTAGGTCCAGAGGTTTCGATTTTGTCCGAGGACAGAGTATACTCATAAATTAACCATTAAATTAAACCATTTAATGTGTACCTCACACAGTGACACTTAACATGCCATGTGATGTTTTTTTTAGATCCGTTTCCGTGAGGTGGCGCCTAAGCTGGTGCAGCTGCTGACCGAATGGACAGAGACGTTTCCGTACGACTTCAGGGATGAGAGGATGATGCGATGCCTCAAGGACATGACACACCACGTGGCCCGAGGTGATGAGGTAGGTGTAATGCAGTATCTGCTGTGTTTACATTTTAAAACAGTTCAAATAAACAAAGGCGTGTAGAAAACATAAGCTAATGTGTAGAACAGTAAGCGTCTTTAACTTCTTTTGACCTATGCACTCTGCTCTTGCGCTGATTAAAGGTGGTGACAGTACACCAGGCTAAGCAGAGCTGATTCTTAGCCCAAATCTGCACCCTCACATCCTATGCTGACTTAAGGCTCCCCATACATAATATGTATTTTTTATTTCAGCCAGAACTGGTTGAGCTTTGTTCCACCAGTGCCACATTATATTTATAACGCGACTGGCTATTCGTGCAACACTGCAACAATCCCATTTCCCATTTTTAGTCATGCTAGCAGTGTGGCTCTGTGGATGTCAGTGTTGGTTGGTCCACCACTTTGGCCCAAACTGAATCATTTCAACATTTATTGGATGGAGTACCTTAAGATTTGGTATACACACTCATGTCCCCCCTAATAATTAACTTTGCCGATTAAAGTAACTTATCCGATAGCCGATCCTGACTTTTCATCTAGCAACATCATATTGGTAAAATTTTATGACCAAACACCTGCAAACGTGATGACACTCCCATCAGCCTCAGCTGTAAAACTTAGCATGCTAACATGCTAAACTAAGATGGTGAATATGGGTAACATTATACCTGCTGAACACCAGAATGTCAACATTGTTTTTATGAGCATGTTAGCACGCAGACATGAAGCATTTAGCTCAAAGTATCACTGTCTAAATGCAGCCTCACAGCGCTGCTAGCATGACTGAAGACCTTTAGTCTTTTGGTCTTAACAAATCTGTGCACGAGTCTCTAGTTTCCGTTGGTTAACGAAGGAATCAGGAAATCTGAATGTGTTTACATTTGTGACTCCTCTGGTCTTCGTCAAGTAAAAGTTTTAATTTCCTCCTCTTGAGCATCATATCTCATGATTCGTGTTGTTGTGTTTGTGTGGTCCTTCCAGTACTCTTGGCGAGCCATGCAGCAGATGACCCAGCGGCTGATCAAACGCCTGTCGGCCCTCGGCCAGTACGAGGAGGCCGTGGCTGCGCTCAACGCCGTGGCGGCGGAGCGGCCCGCTTCGCTGAAAAGCAAACAGGCTTCGGGTCAGAGAAGTGACGTACTGAGTGTGTGCGACGACCCCTTTGTACTCGCTCAGCAGCTCACACACATTGAACTGGTAAGAACCTGGTGTTTATTGAAGCCATGGTTCACATGTATGATCATTTATCGTGTGACATTTCTGTAGCTGCGTCTGTGATTAAAAATGTTGTAAGGGTTTTATAAGTCTTTACTTGTGGTTGGTACTTAGGCTTTTTTTTTTTACTGAGCTAACTTTATTGTTTGTGTGGTTTACAGACAACATTAAAAAACACCTTTTTACAGCCTTAATATAAAGATTTATTTTCATATACATGTTAAACAGCTAAGTTAAACAGTTTGTTTTTTGTGATATTAAAGTTTTGTTTTTTTTAGTTTTATTGTTTTCTCCATAAATCACTTTGTGTTTCTGCTTTGCAGCAGTCGTGTGCATATAGAAAGTTTGTTAACATTGTTATATTATACATAAATAAGGATAAATTCCTTTTAGTCTCCCTTTTTTCTTGATCGCCATCCTCCTTTGTCTTCTTTGTCCTCCTCTTTGTCTTATATATTACCGTTATTATTTCTCTGATTGTTTTCTGTGCCTGTTCTCTGCCTTCAGGACAGACTGAGTTTTATCGGTCCTGAGGAGTTCATCCAGACATTCGCCATGAAGGATCCTCTGGAGAACCATAAGGTACAATTGAGTCTGAATGCATGTATTAGCTCTCTCAGCTTGTTCTTGGACACCGCAGCTCACAATATTTCTGTTTTGCACAATCCCAATCACAACCCCCGTGAAGCAATTTCACATTGAACATAATCACGATTTTTCTCCCAGAAACCTGAGCTTGGATTCGAGTTATCTCTCATTTGTTTGTTTGCTTTTTCCATCTATAGTTTTATGTTGGTGATTAAAAGCTTTTCTAAATGATTAAAGCTGTCTTTGTACTGTGTCAGTAAATGGGTGATTTCACCAAATCATCCAAATTAAATAATCTAATTCCAGTCAAAATAAGCAGACAGATAGATCTAACCGCCACAGCTTGCATCATATCGTTTTTATGTGTAAAGAAGGATAAAGCAACATGACCTGTTTACAATTATCTGCAGCAAAGGAACGATACAGACTGTAGCTATTTTTAAGTCATTCTTTATTATTTTGATGAAGCGTCTTCATTTCGGGTCTGCTTTGTGTAATTTGTGGTCTGCTTCACTTCACAAGTTAAATTGCTTTAGAAACCACATGAAAGATCCTTCTGGCAGATAATATGTGAATTTGTGCAGCATTTTTCTTTAATGTAGCTTTTGAAAATGCATGAAACACAGTATGAAAGGGCCATTCTACGTACGTCTAAGTGTATCTGAGGGGCACCTCTCCCTCCTAAGTGGTCCAGTGAGTCAGCTCAAGGGTCGTTTTCAATCAGCGCTGCTGAGAATAAGCTTTCAGCCGCTGTTTGTGGCCGCAGTTGCATCTCGGCTCTCACCGGTGCTGCACCAGTTATATAAGACCCACTTTGTATAAAAGAGCGGCTGAGTCAGCATAAGGGGTCCTGAAGTGTAAAGGGGAAGTTTGGAGTGGAGTGGGCTGCTGGTGTTGTGTAAGCATTTAATAGAGCCATGAATCTCCGGGATTACATCATCACGGCCAAGTCAAGTTTATTTATACAGAGCTTTTATAATGTTTATTTATATAAAAGCGCCTCTGGCAAACAGGTTCATCACCACGGAGCGTCTCACTGAAATCCAGAAGGCCCAAAAGCCCATGTAAATGAGGTGGAAATAACAACAGGCTCGTCACAGACTCCAATGTGCATGTCCAGAGGTTGTGTGGGTGTGAGAGCTGTCAAGATCTATTTGCAAAGGAAATCACAGAATAGCAGCAGGGTGTTAACTCGTATTTCTTTTATAACATAATTTGTTGCAGATATTTATAGAGCTAATCAGAATTTATTTTGTTTGGTTTTGTTCCAGAAAGCTGTTAAAGAAATTATGAAAATTACAAACCGCTGAATATGCCAAAAAAATTAATTAAAGGTTCATGTACTAGCATTTTTGTAGCTTTCATCCACATCTAATGGTCTTCCTCAGTGGCTGGTGTTAGCACAGTATTTGTTTGAATAAACTCCATCTGCTCAGGAAGGCCATGAGATGTTGTTGAAAGATCCAGAAAAAGCTAGTTAGAGTCAGAGTTAGAATCAAATCTTGGCATTCCAGCGGTCTCTGTCTACCCATAATCCCACAATATTGTATTTTTTTTTTTTGTAGATGGTTCACTTCATGCTCCTATGTCCAACAGGTGCACAGTTCTCGAGCTAAAACTGAGGCTTTTGCCCCTATAAATATATTTTTTTAAAAATGTATGTGGACCTACATGTGTTTTGATCATGTCGTCTCCTTTTGTTTCTTAGGGTTTCTTCCGGAAACGTAAAACCAGTAACTTGGAGGCCTATGTCAACTGGTTCAACAGACTGAGTTACCTGGTGGCCACTGAGATCTGTATGGTACGTTGTACTTAAAGGAACAGTTCAGAAACACACAGCAGAGGTCATGTTGTTCATATGCAGAAGTCCATGTTGGCCACGTATCTTAAAATCCTCTTACAGCGCAAACAATGTCTCTAATATCTACTTGTATGCTCAGTGTGTCTCAAAGACCTGTATTTGAATCTGAATTGAAGCTGAAACCTGCCTGTGCAGCATCTCACATGACAGCTTCCATTCACTTCCTGTCCTCTTATTACAGCCAGTGAAGAAGAAACACAGAGCACGGATCATTGAGTTCTTCATCGATGTGGCACAGGAGTGTTTCAACATTGGCAACTTCAACTCCCTCATGGCCATCATCAGTGAGTAAACACAGAAAACACAGAAAAAAAAACAGATAATCAAAAGCAGACAACATAGCTCCACCTCCACACTGTTTGAATGACAGGCGATTTTTTGGGAAATGCAGTTCAGAATCACCACAGTGTTTAGAGTCGTGTCAGCACTCATTAAAAAAAGTCAAAAAATTAAAAATCCTGCAGCATGACATGGAGCTTAGTATTAAATTCACAAACCAATTTTTCACAGCTTGTTGTTGAAGTAAGTGACACTATAGTTAAATTGTGGTTCCCTTCATTTCTTTGTTGAATAGCCAGTAATCAAATCAGCAAATACAGTGCCAGCTGGAGTTTTTGGCAAATCAGTTCTAAGGAAGTTACTGAAGGCTTGAAGCAGACCAGCCTGCTCAGTTTTTAATAGGTTTGTCTATTTAAATATTTTCTATACTCACACCGTGTCTGTCTCTCAGCTGGGATGAACATGAGTCCTGTTGCCAGACTGAAGAAAACCTGGAGTAAAGTCAACACTGACAAATTTGAGATCCTGGAGGTGAGAAAACCTGCATGCATCAATGACGCACTGGTACATGTATTGTGTACCAGTGGTGTCAAGATTTTCTGTTGTAACTTGATGTTTTTCTAGGCAAAGTTTTCTGTTAAAATGTTGTTTTCCCAATTGTTGGTGAGTGCAAACTTTGTCCATCTCCGTGTGTTTGTGTTTGCTCAATGTCTCCTTTGTGTGATCTCATTCAGCACCAGATGGACCCCTCCAGTAACTTCAGTAACTATCGTACCGCGCTCCGTGGCGCTACCCAGCGGTCTGAGACTGCACACAGCAGCCAGGAGAAGGTGAGAGAGAGAAAAAATGTCATCTATCAAGAAACAATCTAATGTTCCAATTGTAGAATGTGAATGTAAAACAACAGTTTTTTTTTCCTCCAGATTGTGATTCCTTTCTTCAGTCTCCTCATCAAGGACATCTACTTCCTGAATGAAGGCTGTGCCAGCAGACTGGCCAATGGACACATCAACTTCGAGGTCAGTCAATAATTCAAGAGATTTGTTGCAAAATGTCACGGTGATTGATTGAATTGATTTTTGTGTTAAATATCAACAGACAAAACAGTGTTATAAACTCATTGAGACACAGAAAGATTTGAACATTCATTGAGAAATGATAAACCTGTAACACAGTAATAGTTTCGGCCCTGAGAAGAGGCTTCCACATGTAGATGTGGTGACGCCCTCTTGTGGATAAAAAGAGTAATGCATTTCCCCTCTCAGTCCTTTTGTGGCTCCGTACAAGCCAACCATGTACTTTCTGTTAAACTGGCACCAATATTAATGAGGTCTGTTGTCACTGTGTCTCAACAGAAACTGTGGGAGCTGGCAAAGCAAGTGAGCGAGTTCCTGGTTTGGCGTCAGGTGATTTGTCCGTTCGACAGAGACCGACGGATCCTCCAGTACCTCGTCACTACGCCGGTCTTCAGCGAAGACGGTCAGTATACAGTCTTCTCTGCATGTATCTCCTCATATATCAACCACCACACAAGTGAAAGGCAATCAAACTCACGAGGCTTTGTGTCGCTTTATCGCTGCAGAGCTCCATCTGGCCTCATATGAGAGCGAAGGACCAGAGAACAACATGGAGAAAGACAGTCGTAGGTCTCTCAGGTGGGTGTAGACACGTGCGCATGCAGTCAGAAAAATCAAACCAGCTTAACCATAACATGAAATAAATTCATCAGTATAGTAACACCGGCTATTTATGTTCTCTTTTCCAGATCTTCCCTTCTGCATCGTGAGAATCGGTCCTAAGACAAAGATTCCTCCTCCTCTGCTCTACAGACTGTAAAAGAACAAGGATTTTTATAAAGCTACAGATTCCTCTACATTATCTTATTGACACCTTTTTACATTCCCATGGCCAAATTTTAGGTCTTGGACAAACATTGATCCACAAGATGCAGCTGGCTCCACATTCTTACAGATAATGGGAGGATTGTTGTCTGGGCTTTGAGATCATAAGGAGCATAAATGATTCATAAATCAAATACTGTAACAGTCCGTGATGAAATTCAGTGTCCAAAGGACCCCATTGCTCCAGTTACTATTATAACCCCATCTTGTGAGTCTTCATGGCCTGGAATCATTTTTGAATCTAATGATTCCCAAGAAGAGCTCAGTTAATGATTTGGATTACCAACTGTGCTTCTTCTTCATCATCAACTCTGTCTAAGGCACTTATAAGGATATCAGATCACTCCAGAGGCCGTCAGAGGTGTATGGAATATGTTTATATCTTCAGTGCACCTCCACCATGGCAACAACAGCCTCATACTGCAGCGGCATGAAGCGATGGACTTTCCTTTTGAACCTCATTGGCTACATTGCAGCATTAGCATTGCATGTCTGTGGCGGTGGCTGGCTGAACTCGGTCAACAACTACAGCGAGAGGAGAAATCCACTCTGGAACATCGATCTGTATTATAAATAATGGGCTAACAACTGCTTCTAGGAGTGTTGTTGCTGCTTGTTGTCTTGTTGAGTGCTTGATTTAATGCCAACACATTGAGCAGCGCCACCTGCACCACATCTTGTTCATTTACTCCCACTTTGCACACATCACCAGTTTCTGGCTGTTTCACAGTAATTCAAGCCTGACATCTAATTGAAACATATGGTGGAAGTCAGTGCACCCGCCACATACTGTATTTCCAGACACTATTTTCATCAATCACATGCTATTTGGTTCTAAACATATTGTGAGGTGTGCACTTTGACTGCGTATTGGTGATGCAAAGTTGTGCGAGTGACGGCAACATCATGCTAATCATGCAAGTTAAATCAAATGCACTTCAGTGGGGTCTTGTGTATTGTATTATAGGATTTGGTGACTCCTATTTTAAGGCGTCTTTCTGTTCAGTATTAAGTTGTATTTTGCATCAGATGGTTAAGATGTTTTTTTTCCTTCATGTATTTTCTCTGAAGTTTCACCATGAGCTTGTTGCTGGTTGGCTGGCTCTGTGTTTGTAAGCTATTTTGTTAATGCACCAGATCATGTATGACAAAGAAGTATTTTGGGTCTGAATAAGGCACAAACTGATGTGTATATGTGCTGCTTTAATACAAAGGGGAAGCTCATCCTCCTCTTCATCTCGTCTGTGATGATGTGTGAGCATGACGTGGTCCTTTAAAATCTGCCTATGGGTGAAAGTGATGCTACAGTACATTTTTATGTTTTAAAAAAAAGCTCATTAAAGGTTTCATATGTTTTATAAAGTGTTTACCACATATGCTTTTTTTTATTTTTTATCTTTTTTGTGTATCGTTTGTGTCACCGGTCAGGGTACCTGTACTGAAGGCCTTTGTGTAAAGAGAATTATATTTTTTCTTTCAAATAAACAGAATAACTGAACAATGTGTGATTTGGTTTTAAATGACACAGAAAAACAAGCAGGTAAAAATATTCCTAAATGCAAGAGCAGAATATAAGTAAAAGCATTTATTTACAACACACACCGAATCTTTACATTCATCTCTGAATATACACGTCTTTGGCCAAAAAATAGGAATAAAGTGAAAAGTGTTGATCCTCATGTTTGAACATCAGTGACTCCGAACTCTGGTGAAGTTAATGCAGCGGCCCTGGAGACAAAACAAAAGAGACAAAAGATTTACTGCCAAATGTAGTAAAATATCAACCAGAAATTGAATTTATTACACAGTGGCATGTTTTGAGTTTTTAAGCAGAATATGATACAATCAAACCAGAAGTGACGCATGTTATTTGCTAATTGATCTGGATTAGCATAAATGCAAACCATCAGCAGTCTACAAATCAAGTAAATTTGAATATAATATAAAGGAACCTGTTGACTTTTTAGCCGCATGCCTGAGATTTCTTATTTTGAAAATGCAGTGACAAAATGCATCTTTTCTTCATCTTTTTTTTGTAATTGATTTTTAAATTCAATAAACACGATCCGTAACACACTGCTAACCAAGAAAGAAAGAAGGAAAAGAAAAAAAAAAGATATACATATGTATATATACAGGTGTATACATGTAGACCTACACACATACACATATAAACATGCAAAAGAAAAATCCCACCATAGACCAACAACAACTGCTGCATTGTATTAAGAGAAAAAAGAAGGGGAAAATGAATAAATAAATAAATAACGCATATAAATGAAGGACATTGCCTTCTGGGAACAGATGAGTCACAGTCTCTGTTCCTTCATCTTTTTTTTATCATTTCACACAGAGGGACACAATATGACGATAAATCATCAGCATTAGATCAGTAAATATGGTGAGAATAAGACAATCCTAAAAGAGTGGAGGTCGGTTTGAGCTGTGTTGGATGATGTCTGGTGCAAGCGTTCACATTCAGACTTATTTACAACAACTGAGTTGGTGTAGGAAGCTGTTGGGAAGATAATAAGAGAGGGACAAACTGGGTCGTTATAATTCTCTCTACCAAATTAACTGGTGACACTTTATCGGTAAAAATATCATCTCTGTTTGGTGTTTGCAGACAGTCCAGCTGGAAGTATTCAAAGTATTCTCTGTTTTCTTTCATCTGACATACAGTTTCATTGTTTTTTTCTTACCTTGCCCTGAGGTGTTGGCCTCATGATTGCCACTCTGTCGTACTGTCTCCTCAGTAATGCCAGCAACGCATCAAAACGCCCCTGAAGGTCAAGTCAAATCAGGTTGAGTCAATCGAAAACAGAACATAAAAATTCAGATAAAGAAAGGTAGAGAACAGGCATGTCACATGACTTACATGTACGTTTCTTCATTATAAAGGAAAAGTAGTGATAGTAGTGTCTCACAAAGCTGCAAACATCACCTAATGCAAAGGTCCTTTACCGTGAACAATCGTGAGTCTCACCTTGATGGGAGTGTACCATTTGGATTGTAAGGGGGGGCTGTAGACTGGAGGAGGTCTCGGTGGGGGTCGGGGTATGATGGGCTCCTCCACCTCCTCTGGCATAGTGACCACTGCATTTTTGGCTTTCTCCAGCCGTGACCCCTCCTCTGTGGAGCCTTTCTGCCCCCACCGCACCTAAAATAAGCACATGGGTGCAAATGACACGTATCTGATAGTGGCAGCATGGCGGCCAAATGGTTAGAGATACTGAACTCACACAGACTTGATCTCCACTGTGTGTGTTCCTCTGCACTTGGTCTTAGTCATTAAAATGATGTAATCTGCCTTTGTGAATGCTGGTAAAAATAAAGTAGAAGGGGCAATAAATGTGAGCTATGAATGTTTATATTATTACCTCCATGCGTTTGATTCCTCCAGCACCTCTCCCTCCATAGTATGAAGCGTCCACTGTGGGCCACCTATGTTTGGGTGAGAGATCCTCTTCCGGCTCCTTAAACAAAATGAATGTTAATTAAAATAAGTTAATAGTGAGCTCCAAGAATGAAACGTTATTAGTTCAGTCTCTTGTGAACCTTTTAAGTTCATTCTGTTAAAATTCTAGCACAAAATCAAATACTATTTCTATGCAAGCTGTTTTAAATGAGTCACCATGAAGCAGCGTCTGGATGAAAGTGATTCAGTACCATTAGTGCCATAAAACCTCCACTACTACGAGTTTTATTCAAGAACTAAAGTAAAGTATTTTTTCCACATTATTGTCTTAATAGCTCATTTCACTCGTTCTATTCAGAGTCTTGATGGAAAAAAATGTTTAGTTAAAAAGACAGATGATTAAATAAAGGCATGTTCTGAAGCATGTCTTATCCTCTTCAGATATTTTTCAGTTCTCCATGCAGCCAAAACTTCAGACTCAAAATGCTACTGCTGAAAAATAGAAACAGAAACGTGTTTTTTAAACCGTCTTTGGTCTACTCACAATGACAGGAGGAGGAGGAGGAGGAGGGGGGCGAGATGGGGGTGGGTCTCTGATCACCTGTAAGAAATAAGTGGGACCGTTACTTCGGAAAGCCTGGGTCGAACTGCAGCACTTAAAGAAACACTTGAGCTTGTTGGCTACTTCCATAAACAACAACAATAGCACTGAATTATGGTTCGTGCTTCCACAAGACCTAAATTTGAGTTATACTAGCACATAGACATAGACTCACCACAGTGCAGCAAAGAGGCCAGAACCACCAGAGCAAACCCAGAGCCAGTGACAGCAACAGAGCCAACAGCAACCAGAGCACCCAGGTCCCATCAGACTGCAGTGAACCAACACAGAAATCAGCTACACACAGCACGCGATTCATTCAATGCTCGATCCTTAACAAATCCCCTTCTAACCTAAAACAGAGGAGATTTTCGGCTCTATATTATTGATACTTACACATGTTGTGGCGTAGATGGTGACGGGAGTGGAGATGTAAGATTGTCCATTGTTCATACTAACCAGCACTTCAATTGATCTGGAATGATCACAACGTAATCACTGAAAACAACATCAGAAAAAGAAAGAGTTCCTAACATCTACGTGTGACGTTCACTGAGGTTTCAGTGTAGTGGAGAGATGTAGTAGTGGAGATGCATCCTGCAAGTTTTATTAAATTAGCCAAACTACTATCACTTATCTTTGTTTTCTTTTTTCTTTTTCCCTATTGTCGATTGTTCATCCATTGGTTGGCCTCTTAATGCAGTAAAATAAGTTAAACAGGAGCAACTGCCTTTTACCTGTTCACCATTGCTTCATTTTAAGGTGCTTCATTGTCTTAGTAACCTTGTCAGCTCCCCTGCTGACCTTAAGGATCATGAATGCCAAGAACAGTGACTCACTGAAAAAGGAAGTCATTGCCATTCATGTTCTTATCATATTTTGACCAGATTTCCTATTTAACCATTAAAGTTTACAGTTAAATCATATTTGTTTCTAACTGCAGCTGGGATTGTTTCTGCTCTGTCCCTGAGAAATTATATGATCAAACTATGCATGGGAGTTTCAGTACAGAGGGAGTGTTAGAGAGTGGGTGAGACATGATGGAAAGTGAGAGGTGACAGAGACACAGAGAGAGAGAGAGACAGAATGCTGTTTGAAGTGGGTGATGTTAAATCAGCTTTGGCTCGCTCTCTAAATGCCACAGAGATATTCTGGTCGGACTGGCTTCAGTTCATCCAACACTTTAAGCTGCTTGAGCTGTTCACAGATTTTACTGTAAACATTGTTCTTGTTTCTCTCTCCGTTAAACACACAACAGATTTCTAACTTCAGTCTGCTTTTTTTTTTACTTGCAGCTTAACTATATTTTCACACATGCATACAAACATTTTATGTATGTGCATAGGTCTATGTGTGTGTGTGTGTGTGTGTGTGTGTGTGTGTGTGTGTGTGTGTGTGCTGACTTACTGTCCAACCTCATGCAGAACAGGAGCTGGACACAGCAGATAGCCATCTCTAACTACTGTTGGCTTCTGGTCTGAGAAGAAACAGAAAGACACACAAACTCTAAGAACCGTTACCACCTATAAAAATTGAAAATATACAGTTACAAATGTAAAGTAACAAACAATTCAACAGTAAATGGAAAATAAAAACACATCACTTTGGTGTTTTGACTCCTGAAATGTGTTACATCATCTATTTTTTTTTTTTTTAAGTATATATTTTTTGGGCTTTTTATGCCTTTATTGATAGCACAGTAGAGACAGACAGGAAATGGGGAGGCGGAGAGAGGGGGAATGACATGCAGTAAAGGGCCGTCCGATGCGGGATTCGAACCGGGGCCGACTGCAGCGAGGACTTTAGCCTCTACATATGGGGCGCCTGCTCAACCAACTGCAGCACTCGACGCCCCCATGATCTATTTTACAATTTATCACCAAGGAGATATGGCAGTCATGATGTTACATTTCCTGTGTGTGTGAATGAAGTAAATAAATAAATAAATAAATACTTTTTAAACTTTTATTGTTTGTTAGTGTTGCTACCTGCAGAATCTATTTTAACAGAAATTTATATTCAAATTTATATTCAGTTTTTCTAATTTTCTCCATCATAAAAATAGTCTAAATATGAAAGCCAGGATCAAGGAAGGAAAATTCAAAGAAACAGAGCGATTGCTAAAGGAAAAATGGAAAAAATTCCAGCAGAAAGTATAAAAATAAAAAAGCATAATGAAGGAAAAGGAAGACTCGATACAGTCATGTGTTATCCTTCCATGTCCTCTAAGTGACACAGCTCCCCCACCCTCCCCTCCATCGATCCTTTAATAGACTAACGACAGTGAACATGTCCTCCCTCCCTCTGCTCAGTCTCACAATGTCTCCTCTGTTCTCCAGCTGAAGTCAATAAAAA